TCTTGGCAAAGGGAGCTGGGGATTGGGATGAAGGACAGCAACAGACAACACACTTAACTCCCTCATAAGGCCTATGGGTAAAAGAGGAGGGCCACTAGAAGGAGGCTGTTGGCCACACCAGTTTCTAGTTGAAAAGGAACTTGACCACTCTGAAGTATCCCTGTATGGGCAAGTTCTTAGCAGACTATAAATCAGCACTAGCACTGCACTGCAACATGCTCTCAATGATCATAGTGCGGGCCAGTGAGACGGCTCAGTGGGTGAAGACCCACACTTGCCCACACAAGCCTGGCCACCTGAGTTCAATCCCTAGAATCCATGCAAGGGGGAAAAGAGAAAACCAAGTCCTTCTCTGATCTCCACACATACATGCACACACTGAGAACAAAAAGAAATTTTAAAAAATTCAGAAATTTAAAACCACACAGTGAAAGGTTAACAGAGTTTAAAAATTAAATTGATAAAACTAAGGCTAAACAGTAAGTTTAATGAAAACAAGAACGATCAGAAATCCACTGGAAAACCAAATTATTTTGAGACAATATGGATGTTGTACCCCAACTTAAACCCTTTCTGAATACTGTAGGAATCCACATTCTGTACCTGGTGAGAAGTTCTGCATTGGTGCCAAGTGTCCCAGGACAGACCACCTGAGGAAAAAAGGGACTAGAGACTACAATAAATTCTTTTGGAAAAAAAAAATCTTGTGTGTTCATGTTCACATGTGATTCGAGGCACATGTGCCAAGAATATCTGTGGAGGTCAGGACAACCTCAGGCATTGGTCCTTGCCTCCTATTTTGACTGAGGCAGTCTCGTGTTTTGCCATGTACACCAGGTTTGCCAGCTTTTGGAAATCCTATCAATTCTGCCTCCCATCTCCATATAAGAGCTGGGATTATAGATTCACCCCACTGCGCATGGCTATACATGGGTTATGGAGATTTGAACTCAGGTCCCCGAGCTTCTACAGCAAACGCCTTTGCCCACTGAATCTCCCCAGTCCAATTGCAGTAAATTCTAATTGCTTTAGTCTGAGGTAACAAATATCTTAGCAAGCCTTAAAAACTGACTTCGAAAGTTATTAATATGTAATTCATAGGCATCTGTAACTATGAGCAATGATGAAGCAATAAGAACTGAATAAAGGAGCTGTATTTCCCATGAGGAAGGGTGGAGCAGGAGTCATATTTTGAGAATACTGCATTCAGGGAACAAAGGAGAGGAAACTTAATTCTTTAGGAGGTAGAAGTAAGAAAAACCCAACTCTGAAACATAAACTACAGAGTAATAATACACTTGCTGAGTAAGAAATTTCAAACCTTCCAATTGAAGTGCACAGGACCCATGAAATTATGCCCGGATACTGTAATTTCAGGCAGGAGAACAGCTGCATGAAGAGGCCATTCCTTACCAAGTTCTGGGAGTACATCAACTTCTTGCTGTTTAAGTCTTTTCTAGTTCTCAAAGCTCAGACAAAAAAAGCAGGTAAGCAGGGTCTGGAGGGTGGCTCAGCGGCACAGCACGCACAGCTCTTACAGAAGACCCAGCACCCACGTTGCATGGGTCACCAGTGCCTGTAGCTCCAGCTCCAGGAAGAAAATATTCACTCTTTTGCCCCACTACAAGTTGTAAAAGTTTCCTAAGGGCTGTGGCCTAGGTTTTGGCATTCACTACTTCCTGACTATTCAGTTTTTCAATTTTTAAATTTGAATACCAGAAAAAAATATTCATCCCACTCAATGGCAAATGCCTTGAAAATGCCAAAAGCTAGAAGGAGGAGGAGGAGGAAGAGGAAGAAGAGGAAGGAGGAGGGCAGGAGGAGGAGGAAGAAAAAGAAAAAACCAACTAAATAAACAAACAAAGCAACGGTTGACACTGATCACTGGTTCAGTTGGTCACTGATGGTGCCTGCTTACTTCCCCCTTACACTTAGAATCTAATGATGAATATTAAGTTTTACTTTACAAGGATCTGACCCTAAAATACAGAAAAATTCCCATTGAGTGTTTTGTAATAGAGATCACCATCTTCAAGAATTCCTAATAGGGCTGGAGAGATGGCTCAGTGGTTAAGAGCACCCAAGTTCTGTTCCTAGCACCAACCGGCTCACAATTGCCTAAACCTTAAGCTCCAGAGGCGCCTGCACACATGCACCATATTTCTCTTCCACATACACATAATTAAAAATAATAAAAATAAAATCCCTTTAAAATTTGCTTAGCAAGAACATTTTTAAAAAAGAATTCCTAATATTTTTTTTAAGCTATACAGATTTTAGAGTACTAAAGAAAGTTGTATTTTAAAACCTTCAAGGTGATTCTCCATCATAAAAAACGACTTCACTGGATATGGTGGTACACACCTTTCATCCCAGCACTCTGGAGGCAGAGGCAGGTGATCTCTGTGAGTTCCAGGCCAGCTAGGGTTACATAAGGAGACCTTGTCTTAAAAAAAAAAAAAAAAAAAAAGCCAGGTATGGTACACACCTGCAGTCCTAGCACCCTGAAGGCTGAGGCAAGAGGACCAATGATTCCAGGTCAGTTTAGGATACATGTTAAGACCCTGCCTCAAAAAAAAAATTACTTTATTGTTAGAAAAAAATATAATCCTCAAATACTAATTTAATCTCGTGAATTAAACAGATTGTTTAAATACACTTCAGAAACACAGTTAGTGTTACTAAACTTGCTAACCATACTTCAGAGCTGAGAGAACTGTTTCTTCTCTGTTCAGTACAGAAAAACACACTATTATAGACAATGCTAAGCTTTTAGTTTCCCTTGATACTTACTAAAAAAAGTTATTTAGCTGACAAAGCATAAAGAATCTACATAGGCCATGGTGGAATACTTTTATATAATCAATAGCTTAAAAATATTGAGTCTAGAAAAAAAATGAAGGTCTTGTAAAAATAGCAAAAAGCAGAATTAACAAAGATATTAAGCAGAATCCCTGGGCACTATGTATCCTGGGAAATCAAGACCCTCGAAAAATCACCACAATAAATAAAATAATGAAACAACAATCATGAAATATAAGATTAAAAAATAGGAAATTCAGGTCAACTTTTTAAAAAAGCCTATTTTAAAAAGACAACAACAAAAACCATAAGAAAATCACTAAAATTTTGGGACACCAGCCCTAACAAAGCAGCGCTAACAAGCACCACTAAGCAAAGGTTAGTGAAGTGTCTGTCACATACCGACATGGCTCTCATATTACTGTAACCTCATAATAACCGGGATCTACCAAGCAAGTTATCACCCCCCCCCCAAGAAATGCAAACTCTACAGAAAATGGAAAACTGAAAGAGGTGCCTTGTAATCTCTACCCTGGGGGTACCACAAGGCAGAATTCATGGAAGGAAAAATGTAGGCCTATTTACAGATTACAATTGAGGCAGCATAGTGTTCACTACGTATAGCCATCCAAAGGCCAGGAATACAGACAAGAAGTGGGCCTACAATATTGAGAACAAATTTCTTGGAGAAAAACTTCCTGAAGGAAGCGCTAACTCCAACCAGCACCACCAGAAGTCGAAAGTAAATGAAAACCTCCGCAAACAAAAACTGGAAACCTCTTCATGTCAAGGAAGCAGGGTTTGAGAGTGTAACATCACCTAAGAAGCTGGAACCCTTGGAGCACTCAGTAAGGTGTGGTTCTCAGAGCTACAGGTAATCAACACCTGTATTTATGCCCATCTCTTACATCAACTGTTTTACAGATTAGAAAACCCTTTATTTCTCAACACCAATCCATGACACTACCTTACTTTCACACAGCGTTGATTATTGAGGCTGTTAAGTCACTTCAACCAAGGACAAGCAGATGGTAAGTGAGGGGCCTGGGAGACTGCAGGACGCTACTCAGGCCATAACAGACACTGCCAACTTTTAAAAGTTCAAAGTCCAACACTCCAGGGGACGCAGCCTCACTCAAGACATCTACACAAGACAGAATCGCAGCGTTTTCAGCCCAGCAGCTCTACCTAGGTCTCCCGTAAGAACAGGGAAAGCGAGGCAGACAGCAGGCAGGAAGTAATGCCAAATTTGGAGGTTCGCAGGGGGTGCTGGTGGGACGACTCCCGCGTCCCACTCTGGCGCTGAGCCCAGAGGCAGCAGAATCCTTGTCTAGGACACCTGGTCAGTCTCCAGAGAGAGGGAAGAACCCTGGCTATTCCCGTTTCCGCTTTCTATCCCGAACTCAGGCTTTCCAAAGCAAAGAGCTGCCCAGAAATCTTCCCTCCCAAGGGTTTTACCCAAATTTTTAGCTCAGGCCTCGAGAGTAGGAGAATCCGCTAGGTCTGGCTCCCGCCTCCAGCCTCTCTTTGCCGCGCAGAACTCTCCACAGCCTCTCTCCACCATGCAGAACTCTCCACCCCAAGGCACCACCAGACCTCCCCAGGGGAAGTCTGCTTCCCACCGAAACGCAAACTCCCTAAAAGGGAACCCCCGCCCACGGCGTGCGCCCCTCGACCCCTTCTGCTCCGAGCAGCCTGGACGAGCGTTCCTCCACACCGGGAGCCTCCCCAGGGGGTACCTGGCTCTCACCTGGGCCCAGTTAGCCGCAGTCTCCTCGGAAGGGTGACCCCAGGACCTCCTCCAGTCAAGATCCCCCGAAGGGGAACACCCTCTTCCAGGAACCGCTTCAGGCGCCTCCAGCGCGGGCCTCGGAGGAGAACGTTCCGGCTGCTTCCCAGGCTCTGCCCAGCGCCACTCTCTCCCAGACCCCTGCCCGGAGCCGGCCGCGGCCCCAGTCCGGTCTCTCCGACCCAGGCTCTAGCGGCTGTTCCCTTCCCTCACAGACGTCCCCAGCCCGGAGCCTCCCTCCCCGGCCACGTCCCCCAGGGGCTTCCCAGAGCAGCGAGCCTGGGCTGTGGCACTGACTTTCCCCAGCTCCCGGGCCCACCGGAGGGAGGGGACAGCGGCAGCGGCGCGACTCCTTTGTGACAGGTCCAGGAGAGCGGTAAAGATGGACGCGGGGACACGGCACTGCCATTACGCGCAGGGCCCACCCCCGCTTCGCACCGCCCGGGCCCTCCCTCGGTCCCCTAGGAAACGCCCCTTCCTCGGTGGCAATCCCTCTCCCCAGCAGCCAATCATCGGCCAAGGGCCGCGTCACGTGACGCCGCGGTTCGGCCCGCCAGCCGGGAATGAACTGGCTAATCCCCTTGCCGAAGGGTGAATGGCCCAATCAAATCTCTCCATCCGGTGTTGGAGCACCGGATTTCCACGAGGCGCTCGGGGAGGGAGAAGGCTGTTGATTGGGCTACGCCGCCGGAAGCGGCGTGGAAATGTGTTGTGGCGGTGAGGTACAGGAAGCCCCGAAGGGTCAAAAGGAATACAAAAGCAAAGTCTGATCGCTTGCGTTCAGCCGTTGTCCTCTCTGTCTTTCTTTGCTATTTTTTTCTAAGAGCGAGTGGCCTTGGCGGCGGCTGCTGCTGCGGCGGCAGCGGTTTGGGTTAGGCGCCGCGGAGGTGAGGGAGGCTCGCCTCCCGCGCTCTGGTAGGTGAGTGTGGCCTGGGTCCGCGCCGGGAGGCGAAACCACGGTTTCTTCTTGGCCGAGGCGAGGGTGAACTACGGCCGGAGTTAGGGTTAGGGCCCAGACTTGTCTTCAGTCCGCGTCCTCGCCCGTGCCCGGTGTCCGGAGTCTCCTGGGCTGCGAGTTTGCGGTGGCCACCCCGAGCCGAGCCGCGGCAGCCTGCGGGACGGCGTGTGGGTTGCGGTGGGAGGTTCCGACCCTTTCCGAGGCTCGCCAGACCTCTTGCTGCCTTCAGCACTTTCCTGCTAGCTGGAGCCACCCAGGCCTCAAGTGAGCCGCCGCCTCTGCTCCACTCGGAGCAGCTCCACGCTCCTTAGAAAACGTGGCATGTCCGAGTGAGAATCGTTGAATCCCAGAGTGGAGTTGCAGGATGGGAAACACATTTGTTACGGACCGTGTCCCAAACGCTGTGCCCCGCGCATTCTCTTCTAATAGGAAACAAGGCGGTGTACCTATTAGAACTAAGACCGACAGTTGAGATGTCTTATTTGAGAGTTGATGCTCCTTGGACGTCGAGGGGAGGGGAGACCTATTGTTCATAGAAGTGCTTCTTAGAGGAAAACATTTTAAAATACAGATCTTGTGCCTCACCTCTTAGGTAGTCTGATTGGTTAAATCTAGAGTGGGACCCGAAAGGTTGATACGAACCTGATGTTTAGGATTTACGGCGACTTCTTGGGTGTAAACCTGTGAGACAGGTTTCGTTGGTTAAGTTAATTGGTTTATTGATGTGTCCCCAGAGACCCATAAAATGATTTGGAGGATCTCAGCATGGTGATACTGAAATCCTAGGTCCATGGAGGCTGGGGGTTTGGGAGGCGGTCAGTTGGAGACCAGCCTCGCCTCCGTAGCAAGACTCCATCCGAACACAAAGCAGGATAATCGAACAAACAAAATGGTTTGGAGGGTACTGCTTCTGAAATAATTGAAAAGAATCTGTAGAGCTCTCTTTGATAGAAGGAATTGAGTTGAAATAAAGGCAGCTTTTGTGTTTCAGTTAGATCCTAAGATGAGCTGTGAATAATGTCTAAGGTCTGAAAGTAGGACGGCCCAATTCTTTTGAAGTTGAAGTCCTGATGCCTTTAGGAGGAAATTCTGGTTTTTAACAAGCAAGAATTATGTGAAGACCATTTACCTGGTTGTCACCCTTCACTGTCACCATCCAGGGATCTGAACGTTTGCTTAGAGGCAGTGTTCTGCTTCCGAAGTTGAAAGCCACCCATATTTTGACAGTGAAGTAATTTAACAGCATGGTTCAACTGTAAGTTTGGTTATAGTGTAATATGCTTTTAGGGCTGCAAGCTTAAGCAATTTTAGTGTGTTCACCTTTTTTACATACTTCATTTTTTAAAAGATTTTGTTTGTTTATTTATCTATTTATCTAGATGTTTATTTATTTATTATGTATACACTGTTCTGCCTGCATGCCAGAAGAGGGCACCAGATCTCATTACCGATGGTTGTGAGTCACCATGTAGGAGCTGGAAATTGAACTCAGGACTTCTGGAGTAGCCATGCTCTTAACCGCTGAGTGATCTCATCAGCCCCTTTGTCTTGATTCTTAAATGATCATTTTCTTAAATGATCAGTGATTTTAGGAGTGTTTTGCGTTTTCAGGTATAATGCTTCAAACTGTGAGTTGTTTTCTTTCAATTGTCTTAGTATATGACTTTCTTTGATTGTTGTTTTTAGTGGTCATGTAGCCAGGCTGGCCTTGGATTTGATATGTATGGGAAAATGACCTTGAGCGCCTGATTTTTTTTTCTGTCAAGTGTTGAAATTACAGGTGTATGTCTCTACACTTGGTAATGTTAAGTAGCTTTTGACTTTGAAATAGGGATTTCTTCTGTAAAATTCTAATCACTTATATTTAATTTACTATATTGCTTCTTCCTGACTGTTTCTTTACTGACTTCCGTAGACACTTTCACCCTATATCCCTGTTAGGCTGTTTTTGTTTGTTTGCTTGCCTTTTTTTTTTTCTTTTTGAGACAGGTTCTTGCTCTGTGACCTATGCTGGCCTAGAATTCAAGATCTTTCTGCCTTATCCTCCCCCCAGACTGGGTAATTTCTTCATTAATTCTCTTCTATTCCTACACTGTTATCTTTTTTGTTTTGTTGATTTGTTTGCTTTTGTTTTTTGAAACATGGTCTCCCTACTTAGTCCAGGCTGTCCTGGAACTGGCTATATAAATCAAGCTGGCCAGGAACTCATAGAGATCCACCTGCCTTTGCCTCCCCCGTGCTGGGAATAAATGAATGCACCACTGTGACCCTCTTAAACACATCTTAAAATCAGTTATTGCAGTTTTTAGTTCCTGAAGTTTTTGTTTTCTTTTGTCACTTTAAAGAATGTTTCATATTTTTTGCTATTAATTTCAAGGTTTCATTTTTATTTTAAACATCGTAAGCATATTTGTGTGATCCATGTATTTAATTCCTGTGGATCTGTTTCTCTTGCTGTTTTCTTTCCTATTTCCCTTTCCTTTCAAGGTATAGTTCTTTGGGTACCAGATTAAGATGGGGAGGGAAATGGTTATCAGCACAGCCTGTGAGCAGGCTTTGCCTGTTCTGTGGCCTCATCATAGTACTACTAGAGTGAACATTGAGGTCAGAGAAATGCTCAGATTGAAATAAATCTACTTGAATCTTGTGTTTAATTTCTGGTTTCCACCCTCTAGATTTTGTCCAAAGTCTTTGCCATCTTTTTGGCTTTTATTTAACTACTATTTAGTTTACTTTTGGATGTGATGTGTTTGATATGTATGTGCATATATTTGTATGTGTGTATGTGTAGATTTACACACCACATTACATGTTGTATCAGAGGACAACTTTGGATATTTGTCTTTCTACTTTTTATTTTTATTCTAAGATTTATTTTAGATTGTGTGTGTAGTTATGTATGTGTGTGTGTGTTTGTGTGTGTATATATATATATATCATGTGTGTACAGGTGCATGAGGAAGCCAGAAGAGGGCACCAGATCCCCTGGTTACAGCAGTGGTGAGCCTGTATTGTACCTGGAACTGAACTCATTCGGTGGGAAAGCAGCACACTCTCTTAACTGCTGAGCCATCTCTCCTGACCCTGACTTCCATCTTGTTTGAGACAGGGACTCTAGTTGTTTACCACTGCATTTGTCTGGCTAGCTGGCCCACGGCTTTGGGGCTTTTCCTGTCTCTGCCTCCTGTGTCCAGGAAGGCACACTGGGATTGCAGGCCTGAACTACAGTGTCCCGTGCTTATGTGGGTTCTAGAGCTTCAAACTGAGATTTTCATGCTTGCTTGGCAACCATTTTATCACTGAGCCATCTTTCAGCCCATAATACTATTATTAATATTATTATTACTACATTTCCAGCTTTTGAAGCATAAAAGTAGAGGACAGGTTATCCAGAGATGAAAGCCTCTCACCCCTTGATTCTCATATTGGAATGTGAAGTTTGTGATTTACAGTACTCTTAAGTGAAATATGATGTTTCTACATAAAATGTCCAATATTTTCACTGTTCAGTGTCACAGCAGCTATAAGAATTAGACTTCTCTGGTGCCTTATTCTAGTCTTCTTGAAAGAGCTTAGTGCTTCAACTGGGCGGTGGTGGCGCACACCTTTGATCCCAGTACTTGGGAGGCAGAGGCAGGCAGATCTCTGAGTTCGAGGCCATCCTGTTCTACAGAGCGAGTTCCAGTACAGCCAGGGCTACACAGAGAAACCCTGTCTCGAAAAACCAGAGGGGGCAGGGGGGATATTTAGTGCTTAGCTTCTAATCCTAAAGCATTAACTGTGGCCTACTTTTCCTTAAATGGCGTGTGTGCCACATTCATTCCATTATTGCATTGACTGTATGCGCCCATTTAGTACCTAGCACTGTGCCTTGAGAAGATTTGCCTTGGAAAAAAACTGGCTTGGCTGGAGAGTGATGGGCCTTTATTTAGAGGTAGGGGAATCTCTGAGTTTGAAGCCACTCTAGTCTGTTTATCAAGTTCCAGGCCAACCAATATCACATAGTGAGAATCTGTCCCAGAAAACCAAAACCAAACCAAAACAACTTTTAAAAGCTGGCTTGGTTAGCCTTTTGCCACTAGCATTACACAGGCCAATTCCTTTTGTTCAGTTTGATTGTGGTGTTAAGGGTGGGTGTGCAAAAGATGGAGTAGGATTTGGTGTGTGGGTTGGGTCTAAAGGCAACCCAGACGCCAAAATAGTTTAGAATAAAGCTCCCCTTACACAATTCTCAGAAAGGCACTGCGTTGAAGACTAATGCTGAAAAATTGTAATGTAGTTGTGTCTTCCCAGTTTGCGGGGCTGGGAGTCGGGCGACAGGACCAGAGATGCTGCTGTTTTCATTTCCTGAATTCCTGATGAGGTCGCTGCTTTGCATTCGCTTTTCATGTTTTGTAGCAAAATACAAGTCAAATGAGAATCCCACACAGTGAGGGGATTGTTTATATTCTGAGAGCTAGAGTGTGAAGTAGAGAGCTGAGCACTAGTAAAGGAGCGAATATTTAAATTAGTTTCCCTTTTTCTTTTAGTGTAAGGAGATGAATTTGATGTACATAAGAAGAGATGACGACTTTGTGCCGTGGAAAGACTTTTGCTTTGTGTGTGTGTGTGTGTGTGTGTGTGTGTGTGTGTGTGTGTGTGTTTGTATGTGTGTATAAATACATTAAATATTTGACATATAATTGCATATTTCTTTGATGCCTCAAAATGTATTACAAACTGCCCTTTATAATGCACATCTTAATATAGATTAAAATGCTTATGCTGTAATCTCATTTTGATTCATTAAATCTCTTGCTACTATGGTATATTATTAATAAGCTTCAGTGTTGGAAGTTTGATGTTACTTTGCCCACTAATTGCTTTCTCTGGTAATAAGTATTAGCAGAATTCTTTGTTAAGTAATTGTCATTCTCTAAAGAAGTTTTATAATAAGGAGAAGTTGGCCTGATCTAAATTAC